TAGCAGAGATAAGCCATTCCTGCTCTAACCTATCTGAATTCTAGCTCTACAAAGTCCATGAGCATAATGAAATGGACATTATTCCACAACACTATATTATGGAATGGTGGATGACCAGAACACATTCTATTCATTTATTCTTCATTTAAGTCCATCCTGCATTTCGTCAGTATTTGATTTTATATATTCCATTAGCATTCAATTCCTATTCCATCCTTCATAATCTTGGATTCTGTTTTTCATTCCAAATTTCATTCCATTCTTTTATGGTACTTTTAAATCTATAGTGCATATTTCATGGTCCATTTATTTCAGGCTATTGCATATTGTACTCCATACTATGGTCGTTCCTATTTTGATTTCCTTCTACTTTCTTTAATATTTTATTTCACACTATACTCCATTTCATTCCTTTTCTCATATAACATTTTTCTTTTATTCCATAGGCCATTAGATATTGCCATTTTGCATTCCATTCCATTTTCCCATTATATTCCATTCAATTTTCCATTCCATATCCTGTTCAAGTCCATATTCCTATTCCATTTTATTCTAATTTCCACTACAGTCAGTGTCAATTTCATTACATTCTGCATTCCATTTCAAATCCATTTTCTACTCTCTATTATTTAACACTCCAAACACCATTCCATTCTATTTCTGTGTTGGTTCAGTCCACTTGTTCATCCATTCCACTAAATATCCCATTCCATTCCACCAAAATCGCTGTAACAGCAACTTTCAGAAGAACCACTTTCCTAAATTCTTATCAAAGAATTACAAATGTGTATGGCCTGTATTCAGAATATCCTTTTCTGGGAATTTATCCACAACAAGTTCACATTCGAGGATATGAACAAATTTTAGTAAAAAGAATATGTCTTACATTGATGTGTTATAGAGAGTGAAAAGTTGGAAACAGCATAAATGTTGATCAATATATGAGTTTGGAAAGGTAAGCTTCCTGGACTTCCCTGGTGGCACAGTGGTTAAGAATCTGCCTGCCAATGCAGGGGACACAGGTTTGATCCCTGCTCCAGGAAGATCCCACATGCCACGGAGCAACTAAGCCCACGCGCCACAACTACTGAGCCCACATGCCACAACTACTGAAGCCCTCACACCTAGAGCCTGTGCTCCACAACAAAGAGTAGCCCCCGCTCACGGCAACTAGAGAAAGCCTGCCCGCAGTAGCGTGAAGACCCAACTCAGCCAAAAATAAATAAATAAATAAATTTATTTAAAAAAAAAAGAAATGTAAGCTTCCTCCATAAAAGGAATATTTTGTAGTTACACAATGGCCTTGTGGAAATGTATTTATTGACATGGAAAGTGTGTTTTCTGGACACAATAAGCAGGTTACAAAATAATATGTATGCATGAATAATTCCCTTTTTATAAAACAGAAGGACTATGAATTATTTTTGAATGGCCATTCTACCAAAAAATAATTAAACATTCCCAGTACTTGCCTGCTGGTCTGTGGGAATCTAGGTTCTAGTTTTCCTACATTTACTTTTGTTTTGGGTACTGAACATGCAGTGATAATGACTTTTATAATAATGACTAAAAATGTGTCCAGATATTGCACTTCAAGCCTGTGCACCACACCATATTTATATGGACAGAAACTAGAGAGTAGGTCAAATAAATTAATGTACGTTCATCAGTGGATTACTATGCAGCTCATACAAAAGATGATGCATCTTTAAGGACAGCATCACCCTTAATCCCAGGCAACCTGTCTGTGTTCAGGGAGCAGGGCAGGGGAAGCATCTTGCTGAAGAATTAACTTCCCCCCCATCCCACATATGTCGCAGCATACTGAACATCCTGAGCCAAGACCCCCTTGTAGGACCCATCTGTTTGCTCGCTTTCAGGCTGCTCTCCAAGCAAACCTTCCTGTGGGGTCATCCAGATGCCCGGAGCAGTTCCGGGACTGTCCCCTCCAGGGTCACAGTTACGGGTGCAGTGTCCTGACTATATTCCAGGAGGGACACCTGGCTAAGGGTTGAGCCACCAGAGTGGTGCTATAAGCTAAGCTGATTCGGCGTGGCCCAAATCATTTATATAGACAGCCTTGTGGCCCTCAGCCCCTCCTTCGAAACGCACACACTCCTAGGGTAAGGATGGGGAATTCCCAGCATTGACCCAGCCTGCTGAGCAGGGTGGGGCGGACCAAACTCCTGACATGTGGAGCACACCCTCCTGTTTGGCGCTAGGTGGAGCCAAGTTGGCCCCCTCCCTGGGAGACGAAGTTCACGTGAGATCCAGCCCACCAATCAGAAGCGAAGACTCCACGGGGCCCGCCCATCCTTCTTCCTCTTGGCGCCCAGGGCTTCTCTGAGGTAGTGTCGGCTGCCGCGCTCTCCTGCTTCTGAGTGAGAACCTGGCCTTGAGGCCACCCAGTCGTGCTGTGAGAAGGAGCAGAAGCCACAGCAGGGTGAGATGCCTGCAGGGCTGAAGAACAAGGTCACCTCTGCCCCTGGCGACACCCGTGGGACTGAAAACCCAGATCCCGGTGTCTTGGTCCCCACAGTCTCGAGCAACCCATCTCCGTCAGGTGGCAGCGCCCCAGGCGGTGACACAGCAGGTTCTTCATCCTGCATGGTGGCTGCTGCCGGTGCCATTTCGCTCACTGGGGAGGACCCGGGGCCCCCCTCCATGGATGGTGTGCAGGAAGGGGGGTGCCCCGACCTCCATGGCGGTGGGAGTCCCCACGTGGAGCTGAGCTGTGTGGTGCCCAGGATGGGCCAAGGTGTCCAGACAATGCCTGTGCTCAGTGGGGCCGCCGTCTGGCAAGCCGCTTGGGGCGCTGGCCAGCGTCCGACCCAGACCACGAGCCCAGGGAATGGACGTGGGAGGAAGCGGCCCAGCCGCGAGGAGGCTTCCGGGTCTCTGAAGCTTTCACGGCACCGTCAGTTTTCCGGAGATGAGGTGTCCCCGTGGTCGGCGTCTTCGCCGCCATCTTCTCCAAGGTCTGAGCCCAGCCGCTGCGGCCATTTTCAGGTTTCTCTGTGGAACCACGCATCACAGCCAGGTCCTGTTCTTCAAAGCCAGGCTAAAGCACCAGGCCCTGCTCTCCGCAGTCCAGCAGTCAGACCAGGTCCATCCCTCTGCCACCGCGCCACCCAGTCTGGCCCTGCTCTCCGCAGCTGTGCATCGGTGCAACGCCTTGCTTGCTGCGGCCACACCACCCCATCGGGTCCCGTTCTCCGCAGTCAGGCAACCAGGCTAGGCCCTGCTCTCCGTAGCCATGCATCCGGGTCCAGCGCTGCTATTCATAGCCGTGCAGCTGAGCAGAGCCCTGCTCATCACCACCACCGTGCACCCGAACCAGGCGCAGCTTGCTGCCGTCTATCTGGGCCAGGCGCTGCTCTCCAGCGCCAAGCATCAGCACCAGGCCCTGCTCAACGCCGCTGCTATACACCGAAGACAGGCCCTGCTTGTCACCGCCGTGCATCTGGGCCAGGCGCTGCCGTCAACGGCCACTCCAGCCCGCCAGGCCCTGCTCATCGCCGCCGCCGTGCTTCCGCGCCAGGCCCTGCTTCCCGCCGCCGTGCATCTGGGCCAGGCGCTGCCATCAACAACCACTCCAGCCCGCCAGGCCCTGTTCTCCGCAGCCACGCATCCGGGCCAGGCCATGCCCTCCAAAGCAGCCGCACGACTCCAGGCTTTGTCCTCTGGAGCCGTGCCACCCAGCGAAGATCAGCCGCTAGCAGCCGCCCTTCTCTGCCTGAGCTTAATGGCCAGAGTCCTCCTTCATCCCCTAAGATCGCCTTAAGAAGGCTAGTCTTCCAGAGAAGCTCAAGCTCTTCTGATTTTGAGGTCCCGAACCTTGCTACCCAGCAGGTTTGGCATGCAGTTCGTATGCGTGCCTCCTCACCGACACCTCCTGAGTCATATGGTGAGAGTTTCTTCTTCTCCTCCTCCTCCTCCTCCTCCTCCTCCTCCTTTAACTCTGTTCTTTGGCCTCTGGACCAGAGCTCCTCCTCCTCCCCCATTAATTTTTCTGGCACGAGTTCCAATAGGTTTTCTGGCCTGAGGTCCATCTCTACTCCTAGCCCCGCTAGCCTTAGGCGCATCTTTCTGCCCGAGTGTGATGTCCTGAGCCCTCTGTTTTCAGGAGAGCCGGCTGAAATAGGGAGCATGCCTCCCTCTCCTACATCTCCTATGTTGTGATCCTCCATGAGCATACTCATAAGGCCTGCAAAAGAAATCAACATCCACCCACTGTCCTGAATGGGCTGCCTGCTCTGCCAGTTAACTGTGAGGTTTCCAAGTGCTCTAGCTATTAAGCAACATCATGAGCAGTTTTGAAGTTATTGTCTGAAGAGGCAGTTTTGAAGCCTCCCCTTCCCATAATGGCACTACCTAGCACTTATCTGCTGTTGGCACTTGATTCCAGTACCCCCTTATCCCCCAAAAGGGCCTGCCTTGGCCTCTGAGATTTCCCTTTTCCAAGTTGCCTTTCCCTAATTAACTTTGTGTGTGAACAAATTAAAATGTTGGTTTCATTTAAAAATTGTAGCTTTTTTTATTGTCCAAAAAACGGTTAATCCTGTGTCTTATTTAGAGGACTTAAGAAAGTTGTTGGCATACTAGCTTACTCATTGGAAGGGAGGGGGAATAAAATATTATCCTAGCAATCATTTATTTCCACTGTCTAACATGGAGTTCTGTCCAGGAAAATTCCATTTATATATTATATATGCTCTTTGCATAGGTGATTTGCAACTATGGACAAGAAAAGGGGGCAGGGTTTAACTCAAGGTGGCTAGAGAAAAGGAGGGGCGATGGAGATATCCAGGTTGAAGAAAGAGGCAGGGCATGACCCTGTATGGATAGGGAGAATACTTCCTCCTCAGATGGGAGTAGGGGGTGCTAGAAGGAAGACTCAGGATGAGGAAGGGGGAGAACAGCAGGAGTCAGGAGCAGAAGGAGGAAGGTCTCAGTTTCTAGGGGAGAAAAAAATTTATGTGTTGGGAACAGGGGCTCCTGAGGTCTGTGGGGAGAGGGGAGGGGAAGGTATGGGAGAGTGATTCAAGGTTAATGAGTATGTAAAAATGGTCATATATTTAGTGAAAATTGTGTTAATGGATAATCCCATTTAAAAAATTATCGTGACTGAGCAGATATGTGAGGGTGAGTATGTATGTGTGTGTGTGTGCACATATAGACATATTTGGAGACAACTGGATGGACATACACCATGTCACCCTGTGATCAGGGCATATATCTCATCTTTCGAATAACTGGTGGTATGTTCTACATTTTCTATGTTCTACATTTTCCACCATGACCATATTGCTGGTTCTATGATGAAACTCAACTCAGCTGTTTTTTTAAGAAGTTTAGTTGTAGAAACATGGTAGGAGACCACATTAAAAGAATAGAGTGAAAAAAATTTAAACCAAACCAGTAAAAGGAAACTCCTCCCTACTTTCCCATATTTTTTTCTCCTTGCTTTTCTGGTATGTCCCAGTACTGGCATAGTACTGGCCAAGAAGAACCCTCTTCCTGGGCCCCACATTATAAAGATTCCCACTCAGGCCCTCTTCGTGCTGTATTCAGACCACAAAGCTAGGGACATTGACCACAAGGACAATGGGATGTTCTCACCAGGTCCCAACACCCTACAACATTTGTGTAAAACGTTTAGGTTTCCTTATTCCCCGAGGCTGCTTCTAGGTCCTGTAAGGTCTTACTTTCAGGGTCCTTCCTAAGGAAGGGAGGTCTGGGCCTATGGTATGCAAACTCAGGCCCAAAAGGTGGCCAAGTGGCCACTGTAGAATCAAAGGGTAGACAAAGCTTGGAGATGTAGGCTGAAGTGTTCTCTGGGTTAGGTGTGAGCGATCTCTTGGTGTAGGACATAGCTGGCAGTGGGAAGAGATCAAGGACATGGACCAAGGGCCTTCATTTGTACTTTTGTGCCAGATATACTGCAAATGTTAGCGACTGCCCTGGATGTATAGTTAGCTCTGTAGCCCAGCCTCAGAGAGTTAGAGACACTAAGGGATATATCAATATATTTAGGAAGCCACAACTTGTCCCTGGAAGTGGCTCTGACCATACAACAACATCAATATCTCAGATGTTGAGGGAAGCAATAGTTCAGGTCCTAGGTTTGGTCCTTCCTGCGGTGAGCTAGCATTCAGTGGGCTGAATCAGAGATGCCACCACTCTACTGCATGTTAATGTTTTAGTGCGTCTCTTGGGCATTTGATCTGTTTGGGAGTGGACCTCAATCCAATGTCCTTAACTCAAGCCCACCATACTAAAATTTACATAGCTGCTATTGACCATAAGCATTTCTTCCTTCTCTGGACCCTCCCCATGAAAGTGTCAATTGTCATCACATAGCAGACCTTCATTCTGCAAAATCCAGTGGACAATTCCTAGATTTCATTTTTTTTTTTTTTTTTTCGGGCTGTGCAACATGTGGGATCTTAGTTCCCTGACCAGGGATCGCACCTGGGCCCTTGGCAGTCCTAACCACTGGCCCACAAGGGAATTCCCTGTACACTTTAAATTTTTTTCGTTAATTGTGATAAGATACATATAACAAAATTTACCATTTGTAAGTGTACGGTTTTATGGCATTCACTGTTATGCAACCATCACCACATTCCATCCCCAGAATTTTTTCATCTTCTCCAACTGAAACTTTGTCCCATCAAACCATAACTCCCCATTCCTCTCTTCCTGAAGTCCCTGGCAATCAACATTCCACTTTCTCTTTCTATGGGTTTGACTACTCTTTTTTTTTTTTTAATATTTATTGATTTGGCTTTGTCGGTCTTAGTTGCGGCACACAGGCTTCTCTCTAGTTATGGCGCATGGGCTCTCCAGTTGTGGCGCTCGGGCTTAATTGCCCTGTGGCCGGGGGGATCTTAGTTCCCCGACCACGGATCGAACCCACTTCCCCTGCATTGGGAGGCAGATTCTTAACCACTGGACCACCAAGGAAGTCCCTGTTTTGTTTTTTGATAGCAGCCATCCTAATAAACGTGGGATGATATCTCACTGTGGTTTTGATTTGCATTTCCTTAATGATTAGTGGTGTTGAGCATCTTTTCGTATGCTTGTTGGCCATTTGTATATCTTCTTTGGAGAAATGTCTATTCAAGTCCTTTGCCCATTTTTAAAATCAGTTTTCTTGTTGTTATTGAGTTGTAGGGGTTCTTTATATGTTCTGGAAGTTAGCCTCTTTTCAGATATATGATTGGCAAATGTTTTCTCCCATAGGTTGCCTTTTCACTCTATTTAAACTGTGTCCTTTGATGCAGAAAGTTTTCATTTTGATGTAATCCAATTTATCTATTTTCACTTTTGTTGCTTGTGCTTTTGTTGCTTGTGTTTTTAGTGTCAAATCCTAAAAATCATTGCCAAACCCAACATCATGAAGCTTTTTAAAAAATTTTTATTTATTTTATTTGTTTATTTATTTTTGGCTGCGTTGGGTCTTCATTGCTGCACATGGGCTCACTCCAGATGCAGGGAGTGGGGGCTACTCTTCGTTGCAGTGCACGGGCTTCTCATTGCAGTGGCCTCTCGTTGTGGAGCATGGGCTCTAGGCACACGGGACTTCAATAGTTGTGGCTCGCTGGCTCTAGAGTGCAGGCTCAGTAGTTGTGGCTCATGGAGTTTGTTGCTCCTCGGCATGTGGGATCTTCCCAGAACAGGGCTCGAACCTGTGTCCCCTGCATTGGCAGGAGGATTCTTAACCACTGCACCACCAGGGAAGCCCTAGATTTCATCTTAATTCACCTTTTGGCAGCATTTCACCTTTTGGCAGCATTTGACACAGTTAATCATTCCCGTTTCCTTTATATATGTTCTTCATTTTTTTTTTTTTGGTGGTATGCGGGCCTCTCACTGCCACGGCCTTTCCCATTGCAGAGCACAGGCTCCGGACGCGCAGGCCCAGCGGCCATGGCCCACAGGCGCAGCCACTCCACGGCATGTGGGATCCTCCCAGACCGGGGCACGAACCCGCGTCCCCTGCATCGGCAGGCAGACTCCCAACCACTGCACCACCAGGGAAGCCCTAGATTTCATCTTAATTCACCTTTTGGCAGCATTTGACACAGTTAATCCTTCCCTTTTCCTTTATATATGTTCTTCTTTAATCTTTGAAGACTGTTCTCTTTATGTCCACCCCACATTCTCCTAGACCTTTCTCATTTTCCACACCTGTAAGTGTTGGATTGGCCAAGGCCTCGGTTTTTTTTTTTTTGCCTTTTTTGCCCTTTTTTTCCCTATACACATTTACTTCCTAGGTGATTCCATCTAGTCTCACATCTCTGAGTATTGTTTTAGGCTGGTGAATCAAAATATGGTATATCCACTCCCATCTATTCCCTTGTACTCCAGTCACGTATATCCAGCTATCTAATTGACCTTTCCACTTGAGATGTCGAAAAGGCGTCTCAAACTTCAGTAATATGGAGTTCTGTCCAGTAGAAATATAATGCTAGGCACACATGTAATACCGTTTTCTAGTAGTCACGTTTAAAAATGCCTAAAGAAACACATTTAATAATTTATTTAATTTCATCTATCCAAAATATTATTTCAACATGTAATCAATATAAAAATTATTGAGATATTTATTTTTTAGATAAAAATATTTTTTATTGAAGTATAGTTGATATACAATGCTGTGTTAGCTTCTGGTGTACAGCAAAGCGATTCAGCCATGCATATATATACACACTATTTTTCATATTCTTTCCCATTATGGTTTATTACAGTATATTGAATATAGTTCCCTGTGCTGTACAGTAGGACCTTGTTTATGTATTTTATACATAGTAGTTTGTATCGGCTAATCCCAAACTCCCAGTTTATCACTTCCCTACCCACTTTCCCCTTTGGTAACCATAAGTTTGTTTTCTATGTCTGAGTCTGTTTCTGTTTCATAAATTCATTTGTGTCATATTTTAGATTCCATGTATAAGTGATATCACATGGTATTTGTCTTTCTCTTTCTGACTTACTTCACTAAATAATTTATGAGATATTTAAAATTTGTCCTACTAAGTTTTCAAAAGCTGGTGTGTAATTTACACCTGTAGCATATCTCAGCCACATTTCAAGTACTCAATAGCCACAAGTGTGGACGTGTGTATACAGCACAGTTTTAGACCGTCTCATTTCCTTAGTCTCTCTTATTCATT